CCGGCGCTGCGCGGGGACGGCTCTGTGCCGGAGCGCGGGCGCTCACTGAGGGTCACCCCGCTTTCTTCCAGTTGCAGAAGCTGCTGCAGATGCGGCGGAAGGGGGTGTCGGAGGAGGAGCAGCGGGACAGAAAAAAAAGGCGACGAGGATGACATCCCACTGGGGCCTCAGTCTAACATCAGCCTCCTGGACCAGCACCAGCACCTCAAGGAGAAGGCGGAGGGTAGGGAAGAGGCTGACACGGGGTTCTGGGTGGCTTCCAGGGAGCAGTGAACCCTCTCACTGTGTCCTGACTCTCCCCAGCTCGGAAGGAGTCAGCCAAGGAGAAGCAGTTGAAGGAGGAAGAAAAGATCCTTGAGAGTGTGGCAGAGGGCCGAGGTGAGTGTGAGAGCTCCTGACAGGGCACAGGAAGGGTGTTACCTGCCCTGGAGATGGGACAGGAGGTCACAGCAGGAGCCCTCGGGTGGCACTGCCTGGGTTAGAGACATGGCTGTGACAGGTTCTGGGCATGGCAGTACTTGGTGTTCCTGTCCCCAGAAGGGCTGCGGCTTCCCCACCTCTGTCTCCAGACATGATCACCCAAGCTGTTTGCCCTCTGTGAGGTTAATGTGGACGTGGATCTGAGCCGTTTGCACTGACTCATCCTCTCTGTCCCTACAGCTTTGATGTCAGTGAAGGAGATGGCCAAGGGCATCACCTATGATGACCCAATTAAAACCAGGTAAGTTTCACAGCACAGCACAGAGGTGTCCTTTCCAAAACCATCACTTTCTTGTGGCTGAAGAGAACCAGAAGCCACACAGCCTGGCAGGAGCAGCACTGCTCTGCCACCACAGGCTTTCCTCTTGCCCCAGTGACTGACTTTGTGCCATGGTCTGCAAGATCAAATGCTGTTGAGTCCCCTTGGATGTTGTTTTATGTACGGCAAGGCTTGATAAAGCACATTTGTCTTAAAACTTGAAGGCCTGAGGTTGGATCTTCAGTTCTGGGAGGTCACTAAGCCAGAGGAGGAGACTGGGAGAGCTCTCAGAGCCAGCACTGCTTGAGGCAGCATTGACAAGTTGGTGATCAGTAAGGGTTGGACTTGGTGATCTCAGAGGTCTTTTCGGACCTCAGTGATTCTGAGCTAATGTCAGAGAGATGATCCAGGTGTATCCAAAAGGTTTTGGCATGTTCCATCCACTATCCATAGGCTGTTCCCAGCTGTTAGCTTTGCGTGTTTCGCTGAGACTTTGAGGAAGTGTTTAATCACAGAATATCCTGAGTTGGAAGGGACCCACAAGGATCGTCAGTCCAACTCCTGCTCTGCCCAGGACACCCCAACAATCCCATCCTGTGCCTGGGAGCATTGGGCAAATGCTCCTTTGAGTTCTGTCAGGCTTGGGACTGTGTCCACTGCCCTGGGGAGCTGTTACAGAGCCTATACACCCTCTGGGAGAAGAATCTTTTCCTAATATCCAGCCTAAACCTCCCCTGACACAACTTCAGGCCATTCCCTTGGGTCCTAACACACAGAACTGGCTCAAATCTGCTCCTGCCATCACACCCCGAAGCCTCTTGGCGTTACCTGTTTTCCCTGGGGGGATATTGGAGCCCAGCAGGGAACTCCTCTGGATTACTCCATGGGGGTTGCTGACTCTGGAGCCCCAGCCTCACTCTGCACCATGACCTGTCCCTGTTACCTGTGCAGCTGGAGAGCTCCTCGGTACATCCTGGGCATGTCGGAGGCTCGACACGACCGTGTGCGCAAGAAATACCACATCCTGGTGGAGGGGGAGGGCATCCCACCCCCCATCAAGAGCTTCAAGGAGATGAAGTTCCCAGCAGGTGGGTTGGGAGAGGAGCCTGGAAGGGTGGGAGGCAGCTTTTCTCTGGGATTTTTAGTGTTAATGGAGTCACAGCTTAAATTCCCCGCTGTGCTGTGTTGGTCTGAGGGGTGTTTGTCATTGCTGGATGTGGGTGGGAGAGGGCAAAGAGTTCAGGTCATGAACATGCCTGTCTTTTGTTCTCTGACAGCTATCCTGAGGGGCCTGAAGAAAAAAGGAATCCAGCAGCCAACACCTATCCAGATCCAAGGCATCCCCACGATGTGAGTGCTCTATCCCTGCCCAGGAGTGTGGAGCAGTTGCTCCTTGCTGCCCACCCAGCAGTGGGAACTGAGGTCTGTTCCCTGTCACCTTGCTCAGCCCTGCAGGTTTGAGCTGTTTAACTCTCAAACATCCTGTTTCCTTGCCAGCCTCTCAGGAAGAGACATGATTGGCATTGCATTCACTGGCTCTGGGAAGACCTTGGTGTTCACCCTCCCTGTGATCATGTTCTGCCTGGAGCAGGAGAAGCGGCTGCCGTTCTCCAAGCGAGAGGGACCCTATGGACTCATCATCTGTCCCTCGGTGAGTGCTTGCAGGAAGCTGTGGTTGACATGCGGTGGCAATCCCAGATCCTGCCTGCAGGGAGCTGTAGGAACGAGTCGGTTCTGTGTCCGTAGAGGGAGCTGGCCCGGCAGACCCACGGCATCCTGGAGTACTACTGCCGCCTGCTGCAGGAGGATGGGCTGCCCCCGCTGCGCTGTGCCCTCTGCATCGGGGGAATGTCTGTCAAGGAGCAGATGGAGACCATCAAACAGTAAGACTTTCTTGGAGGTTCACAGAATCGATCAGATTGGAAAAGGCCTTTGAGGTCGTCAGGTCAAACCTATGACCCAACACCAATGTGTCAACTAGACCATGGCACTGAGTGCCACTTCCAGTCTCTCATTTGTGAGAGGTTGTGGGTTCTGTTTTCTGGCAGGGGATTAAGGGTTGGTGTTAAAGGTTGAAGGTGTTTAAGGAAAGGCTGCACATGACACTTGATAGTATGTTCTAGTTGACATGGTGGTAGGTCATAGATTGGACTTGATCTCAAAGATCTTTTCCAATCTGATTGGCTCTGTGATGTGCCAGGGAGGTGTTGCCTTTCCTCTGTGTGCTGTATGGGGCAGGAATTCTGAAGGCCTGACTGTGGCCTTCTCTCATCCCACAGTGGGGTACACATGATGGTGGCAACCCCAGGGCGCCTGATGGACCTGCTGCAGAAGAAGATGGTGAGCCTGGACATCTGCAGGTACTTAGCCTTGGATGAGGCTGACAGGATGATTGATATGGGCTTCGAGGGGGACATCCGTACCATCTTCTCCTACTTCAAGGTACTGAACTGCCTCAATAGGAGCACCCCAAAGCTCAATTCCTGCTTCTGCCTGGTTAGATGAGTGCTAAATCCTTGCCCTCACTGTGTTCCCTGCTCAGGGTCAGCGGCAAACCCTCCTCTTCAGTGCCACAATGCCCAAGAAGATCCAGAACTTTGCCAAGAGTGCCCTGGTGAAGCCTATCACCATTAACGTTGGGCGAGCAGGTGCTGCGAGCCTGGATGTTGTGCAGGTGAGGTGTTTGGGTGCTACCCCATGCTTGTGTGGGAGGTCAGCACTGTTTATAAGGATGCTTAGTGCCCCCCTCTGCCAGAGAGCTGGGGTTTATGGCCCTCCTTCCCAGCCAGATGAGGAATACCAGCAGTTCCTCTGCTGCCTGCCTCATCCCTGTGCTTGCTCCTAGGAGGTGGAGTATGTGAAAGAGGAGGCCAAGATGGTGTACCTGCTGGAGTGCCTGCAGAAGACCCCTCCACCTGTGAGTAGCATGCTCTGGCAACATGTGGGGGTAGGTGGGCACACCACAGCCCCAGGGCACTGGTGGAGCTGGCAGAGGGGACCCTGTGTATGGGAGGGGCATGAAAGTGAGCTGTGCTCCACATATGAGCAGGTCCTGGGCCCAGCCCTGCTGTGTGCTCTGCTCATCAAGAAGGAATGGGTTTCCTGGAGGGCCGTGCTGGTGCCAGCAGTGCCAGCCTGCAGGAAGGCAGCTCTTCCATCTTGTCTGTGCTGCTGCAGGTGCTGATCTTCGCAGAGAAGAAGGCAGATGTCGATGCAATCCATGAGTACCTGCTGCTCAAGGGTGTGGAAGCTGTGGCCATCCATGGAGGGAAAGGTGAGTGAGGGTCCCATGGAAGCCTGGGCCATGGTGTGGTCCTGCCTCACCCCACTCCTGCCAGGGTTGTGTGTGGTCATGGGAGTTCCCACATGGAGTGGTTGGTGATGGTGTGAGGAAGGGCTGTGGCAGTGTCAGGAGCAAATTCCACGTTGTCTGTAGCAGGTATAAACACAGGGCAGGTCCCTGTGGGACGTGGAGGTCCCTCTACTCCTTCATTTGGGGAATGGCTGCCAGAGGGAGCCCCATTGAGCCATGCTTGGCTCCGAGGCCACAGTGGTTGCTGCAGTTGGTAGGACTGGGAGTTCT